CAAATATATTTAATGAGCGGTCTTTTTGGGTGGTCATTCTGAAGACGTATCGTTTGTAGGTTGTATTCTTCCGAGGAACACAATACGTTTCCATCGCTGTTAAGATACCTCCAACAGTCCTTTGCGTGATATCTTTGGGAATATTTGGTAGAGTTTTGAGCACTCGTCTCGCTTTGGTCCCGAGAATACTTTGGATAGTTGCTATCTGTATGGCATCGACCTTTTCGTGAAGGCCACTCGATATCCGATACAATTCCCACGCTTCTTTCCATTCCTTCCATATATCTGCGAGATTGAGACTATCAATATCCAATTCTGAGGGGGGTTTAATACGTTCCACGTCGGAGTCAGGAGTCAGAAAAGTTTCTTGGAAAGAGATCCTGGTGCCATGTTATGAGTTCAACTTTTCTTGAGCTTTCTTTCAGTAGTTTCACAATGCACGTGATCCATCAGATCACGTGACTTACAACCCACTTATCATAACAAGGCTCACATTAAAACGATTAGATTGTTCGCTCTGTATGTTCGCGTACAAAATTTGGTTCGGTTCCGCTTCCGTCAGCCATCACTCGATTGAAATCTCGAGCTCATAGTCTACATAACGAGTTGCAAAGCCACATCGCTACACAAGTGATAATACTGAACAGACGCACGGCTAAACAGAAGATATTTGTTTTCTCTAGAAAAGAAGCAAACGTCTAGCAATTTCGACGTCTTTCACGTACCTGCCTTCTACTAAATCATCAGTGAGAACCAATAAAAATGTCTTTATATTTAAACACATTTACAAATTAACTATTTTAACTTACTTTTAGTTATTCGATGCCTACCTCCACTTCATAATCTTCTTGGCGGCCACGTGAGTTGCAGTCTCCACGATAACCGATACGGATCAAATTGCTCCTATGTCTGTCATCTTGGCTACAAAATGGTAGGCTCTGGTCACAGGGTTTGTGAGAAAAACGCATCAACTTCCGTGGGCTTTTGGACAGGACTTGACACAAAATGTGAACGTATGTTCTATTTCAAGCATTTTTAAACATCGTTGTACACTCAAATGGGTTTGGAGGGGGGAGGGATAGATCATCTTTTGACGTTTTTCAAACGAGCACCTATTTATCAAGGGGGTTTATCAGAGAGGGGATCATTAAAAAAATTAAGGATTGACGTTCCGTTAAGACTCGATATTTTGTCTGATTTTGTCTGTTTGTTTATTTATTTTCTTCATTGAACGTTTTGTTTTTGCTGAAATAAGGGCTAAAAACCAAAAGTGGGCCTTAAACTCTTTATAATGTGTCGTTTGTCACGAATTAAGTTGGTGCAAAAACTAAATTACTTCAAACGTTTTTCATTTCTTTTTCAGTGGTCAGGTGTTTACGTCTCCCCTCCCCTGATCATAGTCTACAGCATGGCTGTGGTGGTGGGCCTTCAGACAGTTATTACGGGGACAAATGTTCTTTCCATTGTATCCCCGGGTACCGGCGCGTCAATGGATCCACTGAAAGAATCTGTCAAGCCAACGAGACATGGTCAGGGGAAGAAATCAAATGTAACGGTAAATGAAATAGTATAAGATTTCTGCATGATTCATTTAGCTTATGAAGCCGCTCAAATGTAAAGTAGCCATTGAATTCAAAGATAAGGACTTCACAATCATTACATTATCCAAACAAAAGTAACAACAGAGAGGAGAAGGCTGCCCCTCCTCCCCTTGCACTAGAGTGGGTATTAGCTTGAAAGCCCATGGTAAAGGGATAAGGTGCGACTGCAAGGAACCATAGTTTCAAGAAAGTATCAGTTCATCCCTCTATCCGTGCTATGCTTGTCCTCTTTTTCTTGTCTGCCTTTTGTTTAATTTGTTTTTGCCTTGTTTGTACCGTTTTCTTTTCCTTTCTTTAGGTTCCATATCCTTTTTTTTGTTCTTTTGGCTTTCAAAGTGCCCTGAACATTTATATCCTGTTTCTTTAACTCTCCACAGTTGTCCGTTGTAAATCCTTGAAACCTCCAAAGGATGGCGACGTGAAGCCCAGTGATTGCAAAAATTCTCCGGTGTATTACACTTCGTGCGAGTTAAATTGCCCCAAAGGATATATTTTGCGTGGGGATCCAATAACAACTTGTACAAAAGATGGAACGTGGTCCAAAAACACCAGTGTTACATACTGTGAAGGTGAGCTTAATTGTTTTGGTATATCACAGAATATGGCATTTAAACATGACAGGTTTTTCCTACTTTCGAGTTAAACCGAGGAATTTAAATCGTCTATGAATTCACGAGAGCGTTAGGCGCTTATTGTGTTGAAAGGTGACCTACTGGAAGACAGTTTGTTAGGTAACGCGAGGAGATGAGGAATATTGAAGCGCTATATAAGAACAGTTAACGCGGAAGATGAATAAAATCAACACAGCTGTTCTGATTTTCTTATATTCTACCTTGTGGATGTTCGTCGCTTCCAGCACTATTTCCTTACTATTCGCCAAAGTCCTTATGAAATAACCATAAGTTAGCATATACTAAAACAGTGGATAGCGTTG